AGATAAGGGCCGCTTTTACCCTCTCAGCTTAACGGCTTTTATGCCGTAGCCTTACAGCACTCACACGTTTAACTTGGTGAGCCGGTCAGCCGTAATCGTTAGATATCGGCATGGAAAGGCCGAAGGCTTTACAAGTTTTTGAAGCTGTTTTGTTATGATAACTGCTGTTTAACGCCGCAGTACGCGTTCCGAATGTTATCACAAGAATGCTGAGTTGTGGGCAAAAGTCGTGCCCCAGGTGCGGGTTCGACTCCCGCCTGGGGGACTTTTGCCCATAACTCAGCATTCTTGTGATAACATTCGGAACGCGAACTGCGGCGTTAAACAGCAGTTATCATAAAAAACAGCTTCAAAAAGATTTAACGTTTTGAGTCCTAGGTGAGACCTTTCTGTTCCTTTTTTTTCGTTGTTTGAATTCTAACTGTTAACTTGTAAACTATAAATGTTTTGGAAGTTGAACAGTTTGGCCAGTAGGAAAGTTTCAAGACACTTATATAAATTGAAACAATGAAAACAAAAGAAACAAAGAGAAGCTCACCTATTAAATGAAGTTGCACTTATCCCGGCCTAAATAAGGTGAAACCATCTCCTCCTTATATTCCAGATCCTCTTAGGTAGAGAAAGTCCTCAGTTTCCAGCTAGTAGCCATTATTAAGAGAAAAAAGGTATTACAAGTTGGATTTCCTTATTTATCAAAGCGAGCAGTCCAAGTAATAGCGTTGGGGCGCGCTCTGACGCGTACCGACGATCGCGGCGATCGCCACTGCTGTCGCGAAGTATGAACGCTGCCTAACATCGCCGGAGTTAAAAAGAAGGCGTGCAGTCCAGAAGATGTTGCGGGGCTGAAACATAGCACAAAGAATGAACCGTCCCCACTGAGGGATACGTAGAGTAAATCTGCACCCTGCACCGATCAACTTTGGCCGTGAAAAGGGGACAGGCTTTTTTGTAGTACCTAATATTTTTTTAATGAACGTACTTTACCCGAGCTGAAATGAGCCTTCAGCAAATTATTGAAAATATGATATGTAAAGCACGTTCCAATTAAGACACTTTTTAACCAACCTGTAATTGCAGAGATTGCAAGCGAAGGCTCGCGTGCGACCACCGTGCATTTCACGATGCAAATTGAAGATCAACTCGTCCGACTCCACAAATGGACAATCTGGGCACTGACGACGCTCTGTATTACAAAGATCAACAGCTTCAAAGCACTTACAGAAGTGAACATGACTCTAATTTGTACCTTCATTACATAAATCTCTCTTCAGTACTGGTAGTACTTCTTTTGTCGGTCGCATTAACGATACAGCCGACGGTTCCACTTTTATTGACAGCGGGGTTTGGACATCAATAGTCGGAGGTTTCTCTTCTTTGACTTCGACTTCAGTCGAAGAATTTAGCGCTCCATCCGTACTCGCTCCGCTGCAATTACTATCATACAAATAAACTTGCACAAACGCTAATCAATTGAAATCTTCTTAGGCCAGGAAGTTCGCGTTGCGGCGACTCGTACAAACCAGCTGGTGTTTCTCAACTAAATGAATAGGCATAGTGCAGTACTACCATTCAAATCAAGCAGGCCCTGGTGCGAACGCCGCGCACGTGATGCTGCCTACACCGCAGGCTTCGCCGCATCACCGCAACATAGACCTTCCGAGATACACTAGATGGATTGGAATAAAGCGGATAATATTATTTGATGAAAGAACTGCATAGGTCGCTTCCCCGGGAGACGGACCAGACAGTCGCTATTCCTTGCATCGTAGCGCGCGGCGTGTCGTGCGCTGGTGCGCAGCGAAACCTCAATGAGCATCAGTTTGCGACTGAAGCAGCGAAACTCATGTGAATTCAGGAGGGGTGGAACGGAGAACACTACGACTGGCGACATCGGACTCCCCGGTCTCTTTAGCCTCCAAATTTCAGACGATGGACAAGACGAACTCGCCTGTCGGGCCACAGCGATCGTTCGGCCACGCCCCTAAGCGTGCGCATAGTTACGAACTACTTTGTCCACCGCTACTCCAGCACCCAACCCTTAAAGACACATGGTACGCTCAAAGCACATTGAGGGTGTATGAGACTAACAGCCCCCCAGCTGTCGATGTGTCGTGGTCCCCCCGCCCAAACATGCCCAGAATGGATCTAGTTCCTCCATGCTCCGCCTTACACCTTTTGCGGCGCAGATTCCCGTCCTTCATAACATCCGTTGCAAGCGCGCGTGTCGCGTGCGGCTCCTTGGCACTTTGCCAAGTCCTTTAATTGCTCGCGCTCTCAAATACGAGTAAAAAACGCAATTTCCTGATGCGGATAACATTGGAGGTGCTACAAAATAAGAACAGAAGATGATGACGAGGGCCAGAACTCAAGAGCAACTCGGCTGCATCCGCAGAATCCATCAGAGGCCGCGCATTCCCAGAAAACATGAGAATAAAAACAATCCAAGCGTCCCACTCGTTTATTCTAAGTATTTCTATGACTTTGGCGAAACGGCATTCGCGCCGGATCGTAGAAATTTACAGGCGATTTATCTAATTTGCCTTTCCTTGATTTTTTCATTTTTGTTTATTTACATTTACATCGTTGTGCTTCATTCTAGCCTGTGTCATCTTCATCTCCTTGTACATGGATTTTGAAGTATGAGCAACACCTAAAATTTTATTCGCATCAGGAAATTGCGTTTTGCTTGTATCAAACTAACGAGTATGCCGTTTTATTTTCATGTTTCGTGGAAATACGCGGCCTCCGAGGGATGTTGCAGAAGTGGCACAGTTGCTTTTAAGTTCTGACCCTCGTCATCATCTTCTGTTCTTATTTTGCAGCACCTCCAATGTTATTCGCGCATCAGGAAATGCCGTTTACTTGTAGTTTGAAAGCGCAAATTAAAGGACTTGCGCCAAAGTGCAAGGAGCCGCACGCGACACGCCAGCCGCTTTGCAACGAATGTTACGAAGACGGAATCTGTTGCCGCAAAAAGGTTAAGGCCGAAGCATGGAGGAACTAGCGTGTTTCACGGCCCTGTATCTCCATTCCTGGGCATGTTTGGGCGGGGGGACCACGACACATCGACAGCTGGGGGGCTGATAGTCTCATACACCCTCAATGTGTTTGAGCGTACCATGAATGTGCTCTTAAAGGCATAGTTCCGCGCGGTCACGTGGCCAACGATATGCCTCCGTGCATGTTACAACTAGGTCCGCACCCGCATAGCGTCTACCTTTTTTGCCTCTAATAAGAGCTATATAAAGCGGCCACAGACGTGTAAGCTCTTGCACACTGCGCACCATGTCTTACTATCAAGGGCAAGCAACTCGTAAGCTAAGGTACTCTCGTAAGAGTAGATAAGCTAGGATTCTTTGCGACTGGACCATAAAATCGTCCTACGACGTTCCAAACAACAAAAGGCATACACGTAATTTAACGTGTAAGTCGCTGTCTTGCAGACTGAAAAGAACACTTTTGTGCAAGAGTCACGCGTATGAGGGTGTTCTAGATCGCCCTTTCGAGAAGCAAAAGTGGTACACGCTATGCAAGTGCGGACCTAGATTTCAAATGCAAGCGGCATTTTGCTGATCACTTGACTGCGGGAACTGCCTTTAACGCACGACTTTCTGGCACAACACAATATTCCACTAGTGCGCTAGCCCGCCACCAAAGAAATCATAAGCAAATGAATACCTATCGTCCAGCATTGATGCTTTCTGAGAATCCGGTGTTGTTACTTCGTCGCTGCCTGACTTTCGGATGCCATCTGCGGATTGCGAACGACTGGGCGCAGTGCCAGTATCCATGGCGCTATTAGGCTCACTATGGACGATCATGTGATCCTCCAAACACATCTCTGATCCAGTGCTGGAAATTTCAAATATTTAGCGAAGAAGCGTTTTTAAGTTCAGAGTGCTACTCACCTGAACGTACATTTACTGCACACAAACTTTGCCGTCTTTTTGTGCTTCTGTTTATGATTCCACATTCTTTGGTAGACAGTTGTCTTGAACGGACACACACTGCAAGTGTGAATAAATTTATTTGAAACTTTGCCAATGAATGTGGAGAAGAAACGATGCGACAAGTAATCAAGCCTTCTGGCTCCGCTTTACAGGAAACGTTTGAGCTAACAGGTGCTAACGTGTTAAGAACACGTTTACTTGTTGCTAACCAGAGACTGGGGGGAATCAGGAGAGAGTCAGAGATAGGACAAAAAGTCTCAAAAGCAGCGAAGCTAACAGTTGAAGTATAAACGTGGCTACAAACCTGAATAGAAAGAGCCATGTAAGAAATGACTAGTACCACAATGGGACTATTAGTCGCTGTCAGCTTACGGTAATTACTTGGGCCACTGAAGAAATAGCAGATTTGGAGAATCCGAAAAGATAGTCCACGCACGCAAGTAAAGAATCGAGGGAAACAGAACTCGTTGTTCGTGAGAAGTGGATAGGGCAACGTCCGCACAACTGGGATTTCCCCTGCGAAGGGAAGCCGAAATCTGAATCGCTAGAGGAAAAGGCGAGGAGACGTCCTTCCTTCTAATATTTTTGACTTTTGACGACTTTCCCGTACCACGTGCGCTCTTCCTGACCGCGGTTGTCGGGAAAATTTTGGAAGGTGGTAGGCAGGATGGAGAATGGAGAAAGGGAAGGGTCGCAGCGGAGAAGGAAAATTCGTGGGATGGAGGGGAGTTCGTATTCCCAGAATTTTTCAACGGTAAGACGTGTTCTGGAGGTGGTTCGGCTGCCCCGGACCTTCCTTTCCTTTCCACGCCAATGACCTGTTATGGACGCATGTCCTTGGACGTCAAATCGGATTGCAGCCTTTATTGGACTTGCCCCATCCTTTATTTGGGATGAAGGGACGTTAGACGTGATAGGGTTCTGGAACCCCGCCAATCCCATTCGTCACTCAGTATAGTGCTTACGACAACAGTTGGTGGTAAAATATCGCGCTGGCGTCGCGCCGAAACCTACCCGGCCCGCACGCCCTTCATTTGAACTGCAGCGAACCAAGTCTGTAGCAGACCTAAATCGGTAATATGAAAAGAGGCCAGTCAGCACAAGAAGTGTTAATTAACTAAATCAGTTGGATTTTAGTATTATAGCAGTATCTCAAACAATCAACTGTCCAAGCTGGGCGAAGTTTCATTTCTAAGCTGAAGCGCTGTTAGCGTAACGGTGCACGCGGTTTGTAGTCTAAAGAAAAGCGCAAATGCTAGTGACCTGCAGCATCAAAGCAGATAGCTATGCACTCCGTAAGCGACGAACTCGAGTTGATGTAGTCCCCGAACTCAAATTTTGCTCCTCAATTTCTCTGCACTGAAAATCAGTAAGCACTCGACTCGCACTTCAGCTGCCACATAGAGATGCGATAGCGATGACGGCATGGAGAAAGGATCATCATCATCTCCTGCGTGCTGCTTAACGAGTAAAAAAATTACGATATGCCTCTTTGTGGAAGGTACTGGCATCGTTCACTTACTCGGATAAATGCTACTCCTTTCAGGATGGAGGAGTTGATGCTCTTCCATGACATCCAGGCTCACCGATGAAAACGAACAGAGAGAACAGTTGAATCGTTTCGATGCCCCAATATGACGCCTGAAAGAAGCGATTGTGAAGACCGGATTCCAGTCTCAAACAGAAACAGGGCGTTACTTGTCTCGAGCTATTATTCCACTCGACAAAAGACTCATGAGCATCTGCTAAAGAAGCAAATTTCCTGCCCTGCTAATTATTCTAAAATACCCAGGGTTTCTACGACAGAATTCCATCAAGTATACGAGAGAAGGTGAAGAAATGTTGCACGCCGGAATGTTCTAAGAAATTGCCTGTACAAGCAAAAAGTTCACGTAACGCCAGAAATTTGCTAAAATTTCAAGGTTGACCCAACACCTTAAGCCCAAATGATGCCACGAGGAAGCGCTCTGTCAGGTCAAAGTGTACTGTAACCCATTAATAAGTAACAGAGCAACCTGTGTTGCATGTGCCTGCATAGTCTGTCCCTCAAGGAGCTAGCACTCTGAAATTCCCACTATTTCGATTTTCTCTGCTGTAAGTAGCACAATGCAATTCAATCCAACAATTCGGTGGGGGAACGGTGCCAGGATAAAAGCAGCTATTGTGAGGTTCTCAACAGGTGTGCTACTTCGGAAAGTCATCTCAATCTACTTCAGTTGGTGGAAAGGCTACACTAAACCCTAAACGGGCGGAAGGGTTTTTATGGCGAAACAGCTACATATGAGCACTTTAGTGAGGGCAAGGGACCATAAGTCCCGTATATCTTATGATTGAGGACGCCTAGCAGCACTGAATGCGCCGCCCCTGAAGTAAACGCGGGTGTGGCACCCTTTCCAAGGCAAGGCTGCCCTTTACAAGGCCCCTTGTGCTATATCTGGTGTGTCGTAGTATTCTGTAGATCTATACCCCGAACACCCACCTACGCGCGCCCCGGCGCCACAAACTGTCTGACCGACGCTGATGCTCGCTATCGCTTCATTTTCAAAGTACAATATGAAGCGAGGGGATTTATATGAAGCGGCTATGGCGCTGCATAGATATATGAGTACATACATGCCGCCGTAGGTACCGTAGCGAGTATTGGCATGATGCCAGTGGGAACTCGTCCGAAAGTCTATCTTTCCTATATGTGGTCTAGAACTAAGGCTTTTCGTAGTTTTTTGACCGGTCTTTCACTATCTCGCATTTCCCCCACCCCCCCCCCCCCCGCTGGTATCATTACAAACTCTCGTGCCAAGCTGCTTTGAATTAGCCATCCTTCTTTGCTGAAGGTAGCCCTAAAAACCGTTATGACTCAGTGCAGGACGGTTTCAGAATAAACACCTATATGAGGTTTTCAGTGTGTACTCAGTACTCCTTCCTAATCCAGAGAGGGGGTACGCACCATATCCAGGAGTTAGGGAGGGCGTGGGTACATATTGAGTAGAACATGGCATTGGAAATGTGGGGACACTTCCATTTGAAAGAACTGTAATTATGTGATAGACAAAACCTGATTACATTGATTCAAGACGGCGATACCGCCCAAAAGCGCAGTCGCCGTCAAGTTCAAATGAGGTACGCAGCCACGCCCTCCCCAGCCTGTGGCTATGAAGCGTACTTTCCCTACACACTCGAAGAGCAAGAATTGGATATTCTATCTATTCTTATCTCTGAATTATCACTTCTGACTTCTTGTGCCTTGCCTTTGCACCCTGTCTGACGCAAATATTGATGGTAAGTGAACTGCCTTTCAAGCTCAAGTTTTTGATCAAAGATCAGGCATCGCAGGAAAAATTCACAAATTTTACCCACCTAGCATGTTTCCAGAGCTCCGCACATATCCTCGTCACGAATGGACAATGAGCACAACAGTAAAATCCGTATGCGGCACGACCACGCTTGACACCAATCTGCACCTTTTGAACAACTATATTGATCGGTTTTCCTCTCTTCTAAAATGAACACTTATGAGAGAATAACGTTTTATTTTATGAATAATGAACTTACCGCCTTCATGGCATTATCCTCGGTGTGCAGTGCGATATGAGATCGTAAACTTACGGCACGTTTTGTGCTGTAAGAACACTGGGAACACTTGAACCGGGCATTGAGAGCGTGCATTTCCATATGAGACCGCATATCGCATGAAAATTTCGACACGTACGGACAAAGCGGGCAACGACGTCGTTTCACACCGTCTGACTGAAAAAATACAGATTTTATAAAAATCATGAAAAAAAATCTGTCCATAGAAGAGCAATAACATAAAACTCTCCGGACTGAAGCATGCAACTCGCAAGCAGTTTCCGCACTGGTCATGTGGGTGGGGCCGGACCTACAATTGGACAATTACCTGTTTGGCACGCCCTTCCAATTACTGCCTAAGAAAAGGAGGCAGGGGCGCACATCAATGAACCAGGTGCTGTGGTAGGTCCGGCTCCGCCCTTTCGAGCAGCGAGGAAACAGCGGGGAAGAAAGATGAAAAAAAAAGAATTGGAGCAACCATTCTCACCCCGATAAATCGCAGAGAAGGTTCAGTTGCAGAGCGACGTGGTGGACATTTAGGCTTCTCTTCCACTTTTGCCGGCGTTTCGACTACAGGCGGTTGAACCAATGGTTGCTCTTTAAGTACTGATGCAAAAGAAATTGGAAGAGGAGTGCATGTCGGTATTGTTATTTGTCCTCCTGATACCGTATTCAGAGATACTGTTATTACAGGTGCCGTTTTCGTGAGAGGTATCAGCGATGTCGGCACATTGGATACAGGTACAAGCACCATCGACGGCATATGTATCGGAGCAGGAGGGGTATTCGGGGTTGGCGGAGTAATATTTGCTATTGTCTGATGAAGACGACGATGCTTCTCAATGAACTCGAACGTACGTCCGGAAAACGTGCAGTGAGGACACTGAAAATGTGATTATGAATATAAATCCAGTGAATCCATTAAGAAGAACATTCTTAGGCAGCGTTCATACTTCGCGACAGCAGTGGCGATCGCAAAGTATGAAGGCTGACTTAGGCTGCGGTCAGACGTCGCAATGACGTGCATCATAGCGAAGTCTGAACTCATCCTGAGTCTAATAAACTCGAGTGTGGTGGAAGTGAAACAATTAATAAGCGCAGAGACCTTTTCTTTTTGGAAAATGGTTCCTTTCCAACGTTTGGGTGGACACTCACACTCACACAAATGTCAGTGCTTTCATTAGCAGGCAAGCTGGCAAAAGGAAGGACAGGTATCACTAAAGCCCAGTATGTCGCTTACTATTAGATCAAACTTTAGGATAGGAGAATCAGTGGCGTCGTTCACCTCAGGGGAGGCATCTTACTGAGAGGCATCTTACTAATCCCCATAGACGAGGAGACTTGTAATCCCTTGTAAAGCTAGAAAATTGCACTTAGCAAAACTTGAACAGGCTACATAGTGAGGACTTCCAAAATCCTATGAAGTTAATACAGAAAATATGGTGAAGTTCGAACCACTCCATAAGACTACAAGGGTTTACACGTCTCACCAGAGCGGCTCGACGAAGCTTGTTTCTGCAGATTAACAAGGATGCACAAGTTTTACCAAGGTAAGGAAACTGAAGAAAGTAGCGAAGTAGCAGAATCCTCCTACCCCCCCCCCCCCTTCCACCCTTGGGCGGGGAGCTCCGAATCATCAAATCGGTGAAGAACTTGTAGGCATCGGAATGAGTGAGGCGGGTAAATCACTAGTGAAGAGGTGGCGCGGCGCGCAGACATGGCACAGCACCCGCTGCCGAAAACACGGCGGAGGGAGTTGCTGGGGAGGGGAGCCGCAACTGCATGAAATTAGTTTTTCCGAGACTGTTTAATCATTTTCCATTTCAGGCGGCTCAACCACTGGGGGAGAGTCTCGATACCGAAGCCCTTTGTAGGGCCCGGTAAATTATTGACGCGATCTGCGCGATCCTGAGTCCTTTCACCTAAGCCCAAGGCACACGAGCTAGGACGGGGATACGTTAGGACTCACAAGAGGTCAGCCATGCCGTCGCGCGAGAGCGCGCTCATCCGCGATTTGCTGCTTCGCTATGTATTTTTTTATTTGCAATAGTCAATGGAAGATTACAGCCGTCTGCCCTTTATACTTTGGTGTGACGGCTATGAAAGGAAATGGAAATATTTAGAGAATACATCAGCAATCTACGAAAATTCTTTTCAGGGTGAATCCTTCTTTTGGCCTCAATTGTAAGATATTGTAAGGTTTAAGATTCTCGGCCAACAAGCGTGAAAGTTACGTCCTATTGAAAAGAAATACGAGCAACCCGTCGAAATAAGGTACTAGCTGACACATTCGAAAATTATCATCGTCCCCCATTGATATTCTGTTTGGAAAAATCCCAAGCAGGTTCGCCTGATTGCCAGAAGCTATGGTGAGGAGACCGGATCTTAACGCGACATGATTGCCCGGCGATAAGAATCAGTTGCATCGCCTTGCGTCGACGGCGAAGGCGAGACATGCAGACCGTTCGATCCTCTCGTGACAGGCCAGACTACATCCGAGCTGGAACCAAGTGTTCTTACCGAAGACTTTTAATATCTTACCATTGAAAGAGATCTTAACTGATGTTTAGCCTCATGTCGCAAGGAGATTGAACGAGTCGGCGACTGTGATATGCGGCACAAGCACAGAAAACTCATTCTGTTTTGCTTTGTCAGGACTTCTGAAATTTGGGAATTCACCAAAACTCTGCCATAAAACACTAGCAGTTAGACGCCATTTTCACGACAGACTTAGAGACACATGGTACAATCACACATAGTTTGGTGTGTGTGACTATCAGCCCGCCAGCTGTCGAAGCGTAGCGGTTTCCCCGTCCTAACATGCGCAGGAATGGAGATACAGGACCGTGAAACACGCTAATTCCTCCATGCTCCGCCCAATACCTTTTTGCGGCGCAGATTCCCGTTCATCTAACATCCGTCGTAAGCGCGCATGTCGCGTGCGGCTCTCTTGGCACTTTGCAAAGTCCTGTAACTGCGCTTTAATACAAGTAAAACGCAATTTCCTGATGAGGGTAACATTTGAGGTGCTGCAAAATAAGAGCCGAAGATGATGACGAGGGCCAGAACTCAAGAGCAACTGTGCTGCTTCTGCAATATCCCTCGGAGGCCGCGCATTTCCACGAAACATGAAAATAAAAACGGCCTAAGCGTCCCACTCGTTAGTTTAAAGTATTTCTATGGCTTTGGAGCCGGATTCGCGCCGGATCGCAGAAATTTACACGCGATTTCAATTAATTTGCGTTTCCTTAAATTTTTCATTTTTGTTTTATTTACATCTACATTCGTTGTTCTTCATTTCTAGCCTTTGTCATCTTCATCACCTTCTATTCGGACTTTGAAGCATGAGCAACACCTCAAATGTTATTCGCATCAGGAAATTGCGTTTTGCTTGTATTAAACTAACGAGTATGCCGTTTTTATTTTCATGTTTCGTGGAAATACGCGGCCTCCGAGGGATGTTGCAGAAGTGGCACAGTTGCTCTTCAAGTTCTGGCCCTCGTCATCATCTTCGGTTGTTATTTTGCAGCACCTCAAATGTTACCCGCATCAGGAAATTGCATTTCACTTGTATTCAAAGCGCAATAACAGGACTTGGCAAAGTGCCAAGAGAGCCGCACTCGACGCGTGCGCGCTTACGGACGGATGTTAGCATGAACGGGAATCTGCGCCGCAAAAAGGTATTGGGCGGAGCATGGAGGAATTAGCGTGTTTCACGGTCCTGTATCTCCATTCCTGCATGTTAGGACGGGGAAACCGCTACGCTTCGACAGCTGGGGGCTGATAGTCACGCACACCCAAACTATGTGTGATCGTACCATGTGTCTTTAAAGCGTCAGCCTTTCCTGCGAGTCATTCACTCCTTTTCTTCTAAACGTCTCAGCTCACAGGAACGCTATTACGGACACTACCTTCAAACTAACTCACCCGTTAGTTGACGTAGGCAAAGAAGGTGTTTGCATCAGCACATCCGATTCAATCTTGATTATCTTAGCCTCGGGTGGTGCTACTTGCAAAGCATTAACAGGCGGCTGACACTTCGGTTCATCCTCCTCTATTTCAAACTTGGCTTTCGTGAAGCATCTGCTGAAATTTATACCATTACTTGGAAGTGTTTTGAAACTTGATGACATCAGTAATGCAGAGTTGTAGTAGGATTATGTATTTCGAAGGTTAAGAGTGAGTAATAATAGGTGTAGGTTGTCGCAGCCCCAACCAACGATTTTCTGGAAAATACATTGTAAATGAGACGATGTAGTTTGAGTAGGGCTCGTCAATAGGAATTTTCGGCGTAGTCCGGCTAGGTGGGGGGGCACCGAACAGTCTTGAGCTAAGATTGCACAGGCTGCTTTGTGAAGATCCGTAAAATCCTGTGCCCAATGGGAGCTCACTCGCATCATCTCGTAAGCTCACAGATCTCACCAAATTGACATCTGTTATCTAACGTGATCTAACAAAAAGAATTAGCAAAATGCGAAATGCCCCCTCCACCGAACAGGGCCAAATTCCCTTGAGTTGTGGGGATGAGTAGACGTTCAACGGACGTTGACGATAAAACCCACACTTCCCTTGATCAGAGGGCAAGAGTTACGACTCGAGCCCTTCGGCCGACGATCCATGCTCCCTCTGATTCGTTCCTCTGACCCCCTTCCCATCTTAGCATTTCCCAAAATTCGTGCGTCGAGCAGGGCGGGGTACACACCTTCAGTCAGCTACCAAGGAAAGTAAATCTTCGGCTCCACTGAATGAGCTCGAGTATCCGTCTGGGGATTCACAATCTTCGCAGCGATCCAGCGATTAGCGGAGGAACGCGATCACTCGCAGTTGCGCGACCAAATCGCTTGCTCTCGAAGTATGGACGCGGCCTCAAAGGGAGGTTTCTTTGCCATTGACAATTTAGACGCAGTGACACAATATTTCATCAATGTATAGGTTGGAAGGAAAGTCCTGTCAGTTTTTTGAAAAGCTTACAGTTTTTGATTCTCGATGCTCGTACATGACGTAACATGCTATGCTTGTAGGACACTCTGGAGCTTTCCTGCAAGAGGCGTGTGAGGCGCGCTGCTCCTCCCTGGGTTTAATACGCAGTGCTGTTCCAAGGGGGTATCTTTCGGTATCATCTTCTATCAAGTGCCCCGAGCTACGGCAGCTGTCCGTAACATTCAACAATACACTTTAGAAATGAGACCACTATGCGCTCAAGATCGGCCCCCACTTCTTAGTTCGCTTCCGCTTGACGGACAACCGAAATCTCGATCTCTGAAAGGCAAACCTTTGAGTGAGACGGCCCAGTAGTAGAAACTACCCGGGCAGTCTAGCAGGACGAGGACTTGGATTACCTAATGACAGTCGTCGATCGCCTGTAGCCTTTGATTACAAGATAATACTGCTGGGTGGCATCATTCATACTTGACGATGGCACGTGTGCCCGGGTACCCCTGGGCACTGATTTCACAGTCGTCCGGCCTGACCGAAATGGCGGTTGGCGAGAGAAAAAGCAGATGAACTGTCATCGATTCGGAGAATTCGCCCGCCAACCGTTCCAACCGCCGCCGGATTGGCGCGGTTGGGCGAAAAGCAGTAGATGTGTATCGATTTCGCTGGCGAAAAACGCCACCGCGATGGAGCTAGCGTTTTGTCGAAGGCGAAAAACGTCGCGGTTTGGCGAAACGCCCGTCGATACGTACCAAAACCCTTTCTCCGACCGCCAGGGCTCTTCGCCAACGCCGTCGCTTATGTATCGATAAGCTTTCACGCCGAAACCGGCGCCGTTCCAGAGAACGTAGGACGCAGGAGTTAGGTGAACAATGCCTCGCCAGTCTCGCCTTCTCTTGCCTCGTCAGAGTTTTCCGAGAGACTGACTCCAGTGGAGATGAGAGAGGGTCTCTGTGATTTCAACCCCACCCAAGTGCTGAGTGTCCTCAGCAGAAGTACTCAATTCCTTTAGCAGTCCAAACCGGGCATGGTTCAAGAAGTTCTACTTGACTGCTTCTGGGAATGCTGGACAAACAAGCTGTCGCATATGAAGAACAACACGGTCGTCGTCCAATCTGTATCGCTCATCTCCGAGACGCACTGTGAAAATTGTGGAGAAAAATGAGCGAGACTAAGCTTCGGGTCACCTCGTTCTTGCACACGCGGACTCCCATTACCGGCTATGGAAGACCTACCAAATATTGGGTAGAGCAAGGCTGGAAGACCAGTCGCGCGCTCTATAATTCCCTGGCACGCACCCATAGTTCCTACGGCTGCCTACCTGCCTCCACTACCTTAAGGCTTTTCAGCCTAAAACTTTCAGCAATTTTGATGACATCAGTCGAGAGGGCGCTGACTTACTCTACACGCAACCTTCTCAGTTCCTGAAGGAGGGGATGCATACCGGTTTGCACTTATGGGTGGAGCACTGTAGTGACTAACCTAATGACTAGTATTCGTTGATAATTCACCACTTTATATTAAGCTTTTAGAAAATAAAAAGGGGAAAAAAGTCCCAACAGTGACAAGACTTTCCTTCCAACCTATATTAGTTGATCCAGCACCTAACTCTTAACCAGTAACGGAGCTGTGCTACATGTGCGTTGAAATCAGTAACAGGGAGAGATCGTCACAGGATGGAAATGGATTTTATTTCGTTTTTTAAAAATTTTCGAAACCTGAGCCCTACTTAAACTTCGCAAAGACATTATTACAGCCTCCCAACCCCCCCCCCCCCCACCACCACCACAAGTGACAAGTGATTCTGAGTCTGATGGCGTTACAATAACAAAAATAATCGAGTCGAACTCACACATAATCATATCCTACTCTTTCGCGCATAAAGTACTGCAATGCTTTGGGATGATGCCGACGAGTGTGATGAATGATATGATGAATTCGCAGAGCTCCAGCTCTTCCAAAACAGACTCCACATCTCAGACATGTATGATGAGGTAGATGGCGAAGTTTTTCCTGAAAAGCTTCTATATGAAGGCCAGCAGAGGTAGACTAAAAGTTAATTGGTTTAGTTGGGTTACAATACAGTTTAATTCGGATTTTCAAACTACAACTGAATGAAATCTGTTAGGTATGCCAGACACCTAGATCAGGGGCAAAAATTGAGTCAGATCGTAATAAACGAACCGGAATATGGGTGTTCATATGGTGCACGACGTGTTGTGATACAACAGCAGCAGAGAACTTGCATCCTTTAATTGGGCAAGGCCATCTCATCGGGCTTCCTACTGGAGCATGTTGCAGAGCACAACGAAGGAACAACACTTTCTGAAATTTGACCTTGATCAGTATGCTGCAGCCCTTATGATTTCAGCAGCAGCAGTAGTGTATGTAGTTCAGTTCGTTATTTGTTCAATATTTATTTCCAAAGATAGAGGTGTTGCGCTGGCAAGTGAGACGCGCGAGGCCCTTGGATCAAATCCTCGATCAGCACCTCCCCAGAATAACCAGGACGACAGGATTGTATTGCACGTTCTCCGCTACAGCATGCTCACTTTACTCTGCTGAACTCACAATGTAAACCGTCAACGGTGAAAGATCTATGTAATTAAATATTTCGATGAAGCCGTGTCACAAAGAACCTTGTATCGGAACGACTCTGGCAGATCACAACCTTTTCAGAAACTCTCTCCTCACATTAATGATGAACCCCTCTCAGTTAAATTCCATATCCTAGAAATGGAGAGTCCGTGGCTCCGTATTTCATTTGAATGTGGCGGCAGGTTACGGGGCAGATGTCAACCAGACGATCTCTCGCTGCGAGGGTCCAGGGCTAATTTCACGGGGCATCTACCAGTCCAGCAGTTGAAGGGGAAGGTAAAGGAGGAGGGATCAGAGAAGGAAGGAAGAAAAAGAAGGAAGGAGGGAGAAAAAAGGAAGGAGGGGAGAAGCTTTCCGGTTGACATGTGCCCTGAGACGGTGGCGGCAGCTGCGTTCTTGGAGGGATACTGCACTGTCAGAAGAGTTTCAACCATGACTCCGTTCAGTACAAGACAACACTTGTATCGAATGCAAGTACCTTACGAACAACGCATCCTATGCTTCTTCCAGGTAAAGGACGCAGACACGCCCACTCCATCTCTGGTATGTGCAGTGTACGTCAGAACCCTCAAGCAACGCAACTATGACACCATCTTTGATTGACCAAATTCCGACCAAACTGTTCTCCTAGAGCAGGTTTGGCTAGAAGTTCCTTTCTGGGAATAGTTCGACCCTATTAACACTAATACCCTCTCTCTCTCTCTCTCTCTCTCTCTCTCTCTCTC